AAATAACCCACTGTGTCTGACTGTTTGTGTGTTTCTTTGTTTGGGCTTTCCTGCTTTGTCCTGGGGAAAAATCAAAGCGCAACCCTTTAGAGTTCAACCAATCAGGGCTGAGGAGGGCCTCGGTCAATAAGGCCGTCAAGGTAACGTCCCTTTAACCAAACACACCCCCCTCTGCACCGTTTACAGATCATTTAGAAGAACAGTTAACCCTTTCCTGTCAGTGGTACCAGAACCACACCTGGTCTCCTGGGACCAGGTGTGGTTCTGGTACCACACCTGGTCCCAGGAGACCAGACTACAACTCCGTGGTCACTACCGACTGTAGACGAGGTTGAGGTTCAGGTTGAACCGGAGGCTCTGCTCTGCTCTGTGTCGCTGCCGTTAGAGTCTAACTGCACTAACCCTGTCTGTCCACTAGGACTACCAGTCACAACTTGTTTTGTCTTTTCTGCCAATCACCTGGGGTCTGAGACAAGCACAAATACGGACGAGGACAAACAGAGACTCCACGATTGCGACAGCAGAGATCTGCAGTTTGCTCGTCTAAGTTGCCGAGTTAGCTCGATGTTGGGAAATTTACAAAACAGGACGATGTTTTCTTCTGAAAAAAAAAAAAACACTTTAATGATCAGACAAAACAAGTCAGAAAAACTTCATTAAGTTGGTAATTAAAAAACGTATCTATAAATGGAAGAAGAAGAAGAAGAAGAAGAAGAACTATGTTGAACTTTGAACTCTGTCATTGTTGTAAATACTGACGTGGATTGTTTTTGTTTGTTTGTCTGTTTGTCTGTTTGTTTGTCTGTTTGTTTGTTTGTTCGTCTGTTTGTTTGTTTGTCTGTTTTTCTGTTTGTTTGTTTGTCTGTTTGTTTGTTTGTCTGTCTGTGTGTTTGTTTGTCTGTTTGTCTGTTTGTGTGTGTGTTTGTTTGTCTGTTTGTCTGTTTGTTTGTCTGTTTGTCTGTTTGTGTGTGTGTTTGTTTGTCTGTTTGTTTGTTTGTCTGTTTGTCTGTTTGTGTGTGTGTTTGTTTGTCTGTTTGTTTGTCTGTTTGTCTGTTTGTGTGTGTGTTTGTTTGTCTGTTTGTTTGTCCGTTTGTTTGTCTGTCTGTTTGTCTGTTTGTTTGTCTGTTTGTCTTCCTCTGCAGTCCGGTAAAAAACTGACCAGTGATCCCAGTCCGTTGGTCCAGTTCCGAGTCGGACACAAGTCCTTTGAAAGCAAGGTGAGGCTAACAGCGTCACCTAGCAATCACAGTGATGTTCATGAAGTTAGCACATCAGCTAGCCTAGCCTACTGTGATGACACGTGAGCTAACGTTCTGCCACTTCCTGTGTTGTAAACTGACTTCTCCTCTTTTCAGACCAGATACAAAACCAATGAACCGGTGTGGGAGGAGGCCTTCACCTTCTTAGTCCACAATCCCAAAACCCAGGAGCTGGAGGTGGAGGTAGGAGACGGAGGGGGAGGGAGGGAGGGAGGGGGTGACGGAGGGG